CACTATTCTTTTTATATCCAATTTGTTTAGTTTTTAATATTCTTTAAATCTTAAATATTTAAAATATTTAATTCTAAAAGAAAAGAAAAAAAACCCCAACCCCGCAAAAAGTACACTTCAGTGATTCCAAAAAGAGACTTAGAAATTTCAGAACTCATAAAGCTCAAGGTAGGATGGACAACATCAGTTTAATTCTTTGATTTTGGGTGGTCTGTTTGCCAAAGGCAATTATTTTATGTTTTAAGCAGCAATGTTCAAGCAATTGTTTTACTTGGATATGTTCTTAAGAACCTTTCCACTGCTTTAAGGAATATGCATCTTCGTTTTCAAGGGAATCTAAACTCACCGTAATCTCAAACGTCCAAACCTGTTCATTTTCTGAGTTCTGAGTATGTTTTTGAATGCTTGGAAAATGTAACCACAGTCATTTAGGCTCATCTTGAGATGTGCTGCAAATTGGAAAGGGAAAGCTGGAAGAGAAGGACTAAATAATCATTACTTTTTTTTCCTCTTTGAGATGCATTTAAATGAGTCTTCCATTTCGAAAATGTTCTGCCCTTTTAGAGCAATGTTTCTGACCAGCTTCTGTAAGTACACACTGGCAATTTAGTATAGATGGATGCCTACTTTTACCTACTCTCGTGCTCAGCTGTACTCCTAGAAGAGAACAGGGTGTCTAAACACGGTAACCGTTGTCATTCCAACAGTGAAGTGTCTAGATTGTTTCTCCAGCTGTTGCTCTTCTTGATAGAGCTCAGTTAGTGGAGAGTAACACAAGTGAACGTGAAAATCAGAGGTTGACATGGTCCAGGTACCAGTGTAGCCAGCACTGTGCTCCCCAAGGCTTCCTTAGCAATACATGAAAAAAAATATATGAATGCAAAACACTCCGTGAAAGCCACACTTTGAGTTAAAACATACAAAACCAGCTTTCAAGTTAGTAATTTGAGGCTACACAGTTATTGGCATCTGTATTGACTATTTTAAAGCTTCTGTAGATATTCCTGCACAAGACATGGTGAGACATTGAGCCATGAGCGTGGGTCCTTCTATCAGTCTTTCATGACGCTAACAGTAGACACACAAGGTAGAAGTGCAGGTGTGTTTACATGGTGCAAAGAAACAGGACACTGTGCAGGCAACCCTCAGTCACATCATGGATTTTTATTTGGATACCCCTAAAACTTAAGTTCTCAACTTTCACTGACTTTTTAGGGATGTTTGGCTTTTTATTGTGCGAGACATGAGAAAATCTCACCTGCTGTGTGGCGATTCCTCACTCCATATTTTTGCTGTCATTTCCAATAAAAGAAAGCTGTTGGTATTTCAGTGTGAACTGATTAGGAATGTCTTAATTCAGTTTCAAAGCGGTCTAGATACTGTCTTTAATTTCACGGAGCACAGCTCAGCCATATTAGAAATCTGTACACAACAGCATCACATTTCTGTAGAAAAACTAGAAAGTGGAACATGAAATGGCTCTTCATGTCCATAAAAATGTTATGCTCAGATTAAATGCATCATCAGCCATTCAACCATATGATTGCTTGTTAGACATGCCATTTTATGCAAGCCTTGATACTTAAGAAAAATGTCATCCTAGTTCATGGTCATCATTGTGTGTAATTAGTATCTTTTAAGAAACTACCTACCTGATTGGCACTCTCATTTGAGTAGTTAGATGTCTAAATGCCATCATTGTTCCTATGGGAACTTTTTGGACCAAAAGTGAATGCCAGTTTTCAAATTTCTTGGCTGTGTAATTCTACAGAGGGCTTATAATTTAAGACTTTACACTAAAAATTCTAATATGATTCTGCATGGCCTTTCATTAAAATTCAAGTATACAGAAGTATACAAAGCATCTATAATATTTCTATATAGAAACTACAAAGTTGCTATAATATTTCTTTTGAAACTATTTTTTTTTAACTAAAGGTAGCAACATGATCATTTCTGCTGATAGCACTAAAATCCAATTTAACATCTACATCTTCTGGTAACTGTCCCTTGCATTACAGATTCTAGTTCCCAGACAATAGACATACTCTACGGCACCCTAACTCACAAAATAGAACAACTTTGGTTAGTCTGTTTTTCACTTGTTGCATCTTACGACAGCAGTAGCTATTGTTTAACTGAAGACTGCTGTTAGAATCTTTGTGTGCAGTCTAATGCCAGGACACGAAGACATTACCAGTCCTGATCCAATTGGGAGAAGTGTATCATACATTTCCAACTGCAGCATGTTCTAAGATGAATCTGCACTTTTTGTACTTTTTAGCGGGGCTGAGCAAAGTTGCGGTCCCACAGAGCTTAACTAACGACAGTGACCTTACTTGCATTTTGGTCTCATTGAAGGTCGCTTGTTAAGGTTCTCAGTCTTACCCTAGGTTATTGGCATCAGCATTCAATACCAAGCTTTCACTTTCTTTCAGTATGAAATCAGCCATCCTTCAGTCTTTGTCTGTCTTAGTAGCCTTTACGCACGTGAGTAATGCCGTTTCATTCATATGTTTGTCATA